TGTGTGTGTGTGTGTGTGTGTGTGTGTGTGTGTATACAATCATTCTTATTTATTTCCATTCTTTTAACTTCATTCAAATTTAAGAAATTTTTTTGATTAATTTTTTAAATAAATTTACTGCTCATTAAAATTAATTCTAAATTTCATCATTAAGCATAAAAATTCATTTCCACAACAACTATATATAATTATACCATACCGTATGCTTCCATTTCAATCAGTATTTTATTTTTTTTTTCTCTCATTCTTGATTATTTCACAAAAAATTTTCAGGCAAATAGAACAGCGAAACGTGTTTTTGTTGAAACACAAAATCAACCATACAAAGAGCAACAACTTCAAACACTTTCATATAATCCATATGCCTACTGGCCTTATTACGGACGAGCGTGAAAATGGCCCAGTCATTTAAATTTTTTTTCTTTTTCTTTTTTTAAAACCATATTTGAATGTATTAATGCGATGATGATGATGATGATGATGATGATGATGATGATGATGATGATGATGATGCTGAAGTAATGCTTCAATTTGACCATCAGAAATACCAGCACATATTGTATGTCTGGAATGAATGATTTGATAAGGTGATAAAAAAAACTGCTGCTGATTAGGATGGTTCATTTCATTGCTTTGGTATCACGAACTCTATCGGACAAACCTCATGTATACATATGATAACTTTTTTTTTTTGATATAAACAAATAATTGTTATTCATTAGAATTAAAGAAAAATTACAAATAAAACAAATAATTATAAACGATATGCTCAGATATATTATGCTTTCATGCATCTCTTTGATGATCTTCGATCAGTGTTTGGCTTTTACGAATGATGTAATTACATGAAATGAAAGCTTGAAAGAATTGTAAACTTTGAAAAGTAAACTTAAAACATTTCTAAAATATCTTTTTTTATGCATCTTTTCATTGCTTTGTTCATTCTATCAAATTAGGTATTTTCCTCGTTTGTTAGATATTACTTGTAGAAATATCTGAAAGAAAAGAAATTTTTTTTTTAAAAAATTAATAATCATGATTTGATTTTAACATTATAATAATCATAACGATAAGTGAGAATTGTATGAAATGATAGCTATTTTTTCATTTCTAAATAGATCGACGCGCTTTCCAACCTAATTTTAATTTTAACATGAAGGTTAAAAATGTGAAGTATTTGGTTAATTTAAAAGTTAGTTTTTTTTTTCTGAAACAGAAATTTCATCGCACTATTAAATTTTTATAATTATATTCAAAAAATGAAAAAAAAAACACACACACACACACACACACACACATACACATACACACACACACACACACACACACACACATACACATACACACATCTTCCTTTCACGCATCACGTATCATTCCTTCACGCATCGCAAATTTTTTCATTCACGTATTATTTTTTTTTTTCTGAAATTTCGAGAAGTTGCGCTTAAAGAATAAGAAAAACGTCATTTGTTGGAAGCGTAATTTTGTAAAAAAGTAATCGACTGATGACATCAATTACTGTATTTGGCATTTACCTTTTTAAGCTATGCTATTTGTTGAAGTGAGTAATATTGTATTCAAAAATATTCATCTTATATGCGACAAGAAGTTAAGAAAGTTTTTTCGAATGGAACGATAAATAATTCAACAAAANAAAAAAAAAAAAAATACACATTCTCTTTCCTACAAAACATTTTTTAAAGGATGAAGAAAGCAAAAGATAGCAAGAAATGCAATCTTTGGGTGAAATCGATGGAGAGGAGAATGAAGCACTTATTTAATTTAATTAATTCCTATTCATCACCCCTAATCATATTAATTCCTATTCATCATTAGTGAAAAATGAAGCAGTAAATAAGTACAGCTATGATTTGCATAAATTTCATTATGTGGCTTATCAGTGAAAAGTTAGCAAAACGAGGTCGACCTCCTTTTTTCATTTTTTGCAATTATCTTTTTTTTTAAAAATAATTGTTATAATTGCAAACATTACAGATAATATCAGTTTGATATATGCAAATGTAATGAAATAATATAAAATCAATTCCACGATTACCAATACATTTCCAGTTTGATGTTTGATGAATAATTTACAAGAAACTATATTCACTTTTTCAATTCCTAAATTATCCTTTGAGAAAGAAAATTTAACAAATTTTTAGAATATCCAAAAATGCTAAAAATAGTTTTTAAAAAATCAGCAAATAATTAGCAATTTCGATTAAAATACATGAAATCAATTTCAAATATTTTACATCAAAAAATTTTTATCATAATTTTAGAATTCAAAAGAAATTATTCTGAATGCAGTCAGCGATATTCATATGTTTTTGGTGTTTGCTATTATGCTATACAGAATGATTTGAAATTTCCTCGTTTCCGTTAAAAAAAAAGAAAAAAAGAAGGATTGCAATGAGTTTTAACACTTTAGGGAGCACTGATCAAAGAGCTCGATTTTAAGGCTTTGAAGGCGATGAATTAAGGAAAATTCATATGGGAATCAAAAAATGACTAAAAAAAAATGACAACATTCGATATTCGATTCAAGCAAATATAATATCACACCAATACTTTCGTTTCTTTCATTATTACTGCATTATTTTTCATGAAAAAACACTTTCATCTCCCAAAAAGTATATTCAAATTTCTTCCAGAAAAATGCTTCCTTCACGCACTTTCATAATCATCAAACAGCATTATTGCTCTAGCTAATGATGATGGGTCAAAGTTCATTTAAATTTGCAAAATTATGGTTTTAATGTGCTCATCAGATGAGATGAGAAGAGTATGCTCTGAATATGATAAATAAATAAACATTCTAAAATTATTTCACAATAATAATTTGTTCAGTTGAATAGGATTAGATTAAATTTTGCTGATTACATGAAATGATTGTTGATAAATTATGTGATAGCTTAAATCATATCATCTCAATTAGATAAAAATGTATTTTTATGCTTGTGTGAATTTTCTAAAAATGTATGCATACTTCTTCACAAATCGATGAAAATTAAATTTAAAAATCAAGAGAAAGTAAAATTATTGGTTTTTCGTTTCTTTTTTTTTTTTTTTTGAACATACAAGAATTTGAAAGGGATATAATATATGAAAATGTTGAATCATTTAACAATCTAAACATTCGAAGTGAGAGAGAGAAAAGATCGATAGCTTACAATCACTGAACGCTCTATCAAATATGTAAAGAGGAGTTAGGATGGTTGGTCTCTGGAGAGTAATCGACAAATTTTGGACTCAAATCTTAGGCTTAGTTCTGATTGCTTGTCTCCAAATTGGTCCATAGACTTGAAGGTGTCTCTCTCCTTCACTACATTCTAAATGAGCTTTCATTAGATCGACAATCGGAATGAATACTTCAAAATTTTGATGTTTCTCATCTTCTTACTCCTCCCACTAATCTTATGCAAATATTTTGATCAAGTTGAGGAAAATTCATAAGAAAACGATTTGTATTTTTATAAATGTTCATTTTAACAGAAAAAAAGACGAAACATTTGATTAAATTTTTGATGCATTTTCATGTTTTACTAAATCAAAATCAAAGCTGAATTATAAAATATTTAAATATTGTAAAAGGAAATGATTTTAACTTTTGCTAAAATTTTTTGCTTGACTTGTCTTTTTGGTTTTAATTATTAGGATATGATTAATGAGTGTACAAATATTTGAAGCAATTAGGCTAATATATGATATCGACTAATCCTTGTGCAGCTTACTTCACATGATCAAGCTGCTGAAATGTCAATATTTTTCGTTTATTAATTTTGGAAAAATTTATTTCGAAACAAGTAAATAATTCCTTTTCCATCCGATTTTCACATAATAGTTTTTGATGGATGAATGATAATTTTTTTTTTTAACAATAGTTTTTACTTAGAAAACTTTAACTTTTTAATTGACAGGAATTAATTGCATTAGATTCTACCAGAACTTGTAATATCTAAATTGTAAAATTATAAAAATTCATGAACTATCTCTCCTTTCAATTCCTCCATTTTTTCTTCATTTTTTTTAGTTTGTTTTTTTTACACTTCAATTTGAAGATTCTTTGAGACGACAGAGGTAGAAGTAAAAAGAGTCTAAATCCTTATCACTGGTTAATCATCATTTCTAAATAGGCTGATATCGTTTTAAACTGTCAGCTGTGATAAAATTTTATCTGATAATAATGTGCATTATTTTGTTTTGTCAAATTTCAAAAAAATTACTGAAACTATAACCTTTTTTATCATTAAGGCAAA